GGAAGGGAAGGGCCGGGGCCCTCCCGGCGGAGCTGCTCGATTCCTGGCGTCTCCGCGGCTGTGCTGGGCCAGCGAGGGACCCTCCTGCTGCAGGAGAGCTGAGGCTCCTCCTGCCTTGGGAGACACTGCCCGGGGTGCCACACAAAAACCACAGGTGGGTTTCTCCACATCCTTTATCTTGCTCTGCTTGTTAATAAACACAAAAATCAGGAATTGTGGAAAAATGTGGTTACCTCTAAGTCTTTATTACAGATGGACCAGTCCACGTCACCTTCTCCTGAAAAACAAAAATAAAATTAATTATATTTAATTTATATTAGTATTTTTGTCATATACTCAGCATTGTGATTTCTGCAGTTATTGAAACTGGTAACAGCCTTTGAATTTACTAGAGCAGTGAAACTAGCTCCATCTTCAGTAAATTAAACCTACGAACCCGCTTGGCTACACATCCGATTCTCCTCAAAATCAGCACAGGTCCAACAATCAGGGGGACTTTTTTTGACACCACCGTCTTGTCCTTATCCCTGGGTATAAATTCAAGTAAGGATTTAATTTTTCAGAGGGTGGGACTGCAAAGCTTTCTGTTCCAGCCACTGGAATTACCTTCACCTGCACCCCTGGGGAAAGGCAGCTCCAGTCTGGAGGTTTGGGACACACAGAACAAGAAGTTAACACACAGCATAAAATACACTTTTCCTCTTTGCCAATTCACAAAACCTGTGTCTTCAGCACTGCCTCCTGACTGCTGCATGGCAAAATGGCTTTATGCATAACCGCAGCAACTAAGACTGTAAGCTGAGTAACTCTATCTCAAAACAGGGCTTGGTAATGTGCAATAAATCAGGACGACACACTGAATTATCAGCTGTCACACCACAGCCTTCTCACACACAGCCTTTGGACTGCCAGAAGTAAAAAGAAAACATCAAAACAGAAATAAAAGGCAATAAGCTAAAAGAACAAGGATGCAGTTACAGCTGTTTGAAAATTCTGCATGTCAACACTGTTTACTTCTCTCGCTGAGCAAAGACAGCTGCACCACCACAGCATCTTTTTCATCATTAAGGGAGGATTCATGTCAACAGACGTGTTCACCTTACCTACACTTTTACAGTAAGCCTTACAACTTGTGCGTAAATTAATCCTGTGTGTTTGCAGACTTTTTCATGCCAAGTGTTCCCTCCTGTTCCCTTAATCCAAATCTGAAGCAGCTACATGTGCTATTAACAAAAATCACACCATCAAGCTTTACAGAGTTGTAAAAAAAAGAGCCGTAAAATTTTACCAAACTGATTTTGATTGTACAACTCATTTCCAACAAATGGTAGGTGACTAGAAATTTAAATTATATGATCTAAAATATCATGTCTAACCCTTCGTTTCCTGAAAAAGTCAGTAATTTCAGCTGGAGTGTAACACAATATCTGGGTACAAGGTATGTCACTCAACATACAATGGGTGGTTCAGAACATGATAGCTGCTTGCTGCTGTTCCTCATCCAGAAGTTGGGGCTCGTGCTGTCTGCTCTGATTTCAACAGCATTCTGAAGTATTTTTATTTTCAACACTCATCAACGCTGACAATCTAATGGCCATCACAGAGACATTAGTAATTAATTAATTGCCCTATTTGTAAATTTATTTGAGTGCTGTGTCACACCTAACTCATGGTGTGCTCGGCAACCAGCACAGCCAGAGCTCAAAGGAGGATCCAGCAGATCCCTCACCCTGCATCACGCAGGGTAAGAAGTGATCACCAGAACGAGAGGTGGGTCCAGCCCTGCACCCCTGGAAACCCACCCCCCAGACCCTCGGCTCCCCACGGAGGGGGCAACAGGGCCAGTATCGCATCCGCATCCCGTGAGTCATGGGTTTGCCCCAGGGAAAATTAGAGCTTTTGGTCTCTAGTCATTATAAATAAAGAAGCGCACTGACATATCTGACTGCATTATTTATTACTTGCAAGCCTGTTAAAGAAATTCATTCATAAAGTAAATGATATTTGTAATTCAAAACTCTGCCCTGGCAATCAGTACTGCGAGTGTCTGCTTCACAGAAATGCACACGCGGGATGGTTGACAGGTTACAGATCAAAATTACCAGCAAATTAACTCCTGTTAATCATTAGGCATGTCCTTCCTGAGGACAAACCAACTAAGTTTCTCTTCTTCACTGTCAAAATCCCCTGCTGCACAGGGGAAAACCATGATAGAATGATTCACGTATTCCTAGTGCTAGAAACTAAAACTGCTCGAAACCGAAAATAAATACAAGAGCTGTGACACTGAATGAAATATTACAACAAAATCTTCCTTTGCTAAATATGTTTGGTTTTCTGAAAGTTAAGTCTCATTTGCAACAGAATGCAGGCTTTGTTTTTATTCACAACAAATTCTTCAGACCAAAATACATAGGCAGAGCCATGGTTCTGCAGCCCACTTGAGATCTTGCTGTAGAGACACAGAAAAAATCTGCAGTGATTTTTCTCATGGACCACAGTGTTTTGTCTGGCACCAAATCATTAAATAAATCACAAAACTCTGCTCTGGTTGGCAAAGAGCTCCTCAGCCCCCCTTAGTTGCCTGCTCTGGTGCATCAGCTTGTCCAGGGGCACTGTCCGTGCCCGGTGGCTGCAGAGACCCACTGCTCCAAGCAATGCCTGTGTAGGGCTGGAGGCTCCTTCTGGCCACGCTCTCCCTGCTCTGCAGCACCAGAAATCCCAGATGCCACCCGTGGCCCTCAGAGCCAGGCTGGGAGCCAGGCTGGCGGCCATGGCCCACAGCAGCTCCTCCTGGCTGCCCCGTGCTGCACCCACAAGCCCTGCTTTTTGTCAAAGCACAGACATCAAACACGTGTGCTAATTACTGAAAGTTTCCATATTTAGCAACGGCTGCCACAAAGGAAGGGTGCCACAACGGGCCACTGGTGCTTCAGGCCAGCACAACGTTGGAGCATTTCACCCTTTTTTCAGACACACCTGCACACACGGAGCATGAATTTCTGCCTTCAGGAGTGGGACTCTGACTACTTTATTTTCGCTCCTCTCAGCATCTTAGAAAAGCAGCAGTTCAAAAGCTATTCAGATCATCTCTGTCAAGACTTTCATCTGTTCCTGTGAGGAAGTTACACGCTCAAAGCTGACATTACTTGCAGGGTTCTGTGAGTTTTGACAGCGTATTGATAAAATCCCCCCAGAAACCCTTCAACAATTTGGGGCTTTTTTTTTTTTCCTTTCTCAACTTTATTTGTTAAAACCAATCCCCTTTTCAAGATTATATTAATGCCTATACTTAACTAAAAAAAAAAACCAAACTACTTACTTTGCCACATAATTTCTTGTACTTACACTTTGAAATACTCTTTTCTCTGAAATTGCAGAAGTAGGAAGAAGAGAAAGGAAAGAAGAATCCAGAGAAAGCAACAGACAGGATGCCAAAGATACATCATTTAGATGAAAATGGAAGGTCTGTGCAAGGTTTTTTTCTTTTATAAAGAATTACACTTCAGCTGTTCTGTTCCCCTGTACAATAGGTTGAATGGTGAGCAACAGCTTTGCTTTCATTTAAAGAAAAATTTTGCAAGATCATTGAGATTCACATGTATCCCTCCACCTGCCTGAAAACGTAAATTTCCGAGCATGGCTCCTGCTGCAGCCAGATTTAGGACCCCTGTTCAGTGTGCGTTCAAGCCTTCCCTCTTTCCTTCCAGAGGGGCAGAGGAGGGGAGGAGGGCGAACCGGGACCAGCAGTCAAAACCTGGAATTGCCCGGAGGAACAGAACAAAACACAGAACAAAAATCTGACTCAAAAGGAACAATAACTGCTCAGGAGATTTCCTTCTCTGCTGTGCCCCCGCGGCCCAGCAGCCTTCCCCAGCCAGGCAGGGCACCCTGCAGGGAGGGTGCTCCCCCCAGCCAAAGTCATACTTTTATTTCATCCCTCAGAGCTGGGAGAAAAGACCTCCCTGCTCTCCACGCAGGTTCACCCTGCCCTGCAAAGGCTTATTTCACTCCCTCATTTAATAACACGGAGAAGCTGTAGAGCCTGGACCGCCAGCTTTGAAAATACAACACTGAATTTTCTAAAAGGGGAAGGGAAGCCGTGCTTCCTCCTCCTCCTAATTGGAATATGCACGCAAGCATGTATTTTATTTAGTTTATTTTATGATTAATTCACTGAAACAGGATGGTTCAAGCTGTGACGGCATGATATGAGGCCTGAAGGGCAAATATATTTCAAAGTTGGGCTTTAAAAATTGGATTTTGACCGCTAATTAATGTAGAACATAACAGAATACAGAACTCTAATTACTTTCTACTTACATTCTACTGTAAGATGTCCATGGCAAGGACTGTTTCAGACCTATCTCTCTGACCAATACTTGGCATGTTAGACAGAGCTTCTGTCTGCTACTGCAGTAACAGATCATGATAAGCCTTAAACCACTAAAAATTATCTGGATCTCTAAGAATTTCACATTGTGACACTTTACATGTATCTGTTTGCACCAAAGTGATTTAAATCTTATTGAAATAATGTGCTTTGCACTTCTTGTGTGGCCCTTGTTCCAAAGCACATGGAATGTAAGTTTGAAGTGGGAACAGCCCAGCCATGTCCCAGGGCTGGAACCAAGATTCCCTCCTGACGTCTGATTCTGCAAACCACAGGGATCCAGGTTCCTATGCACTAGGATGCACTGCACATCCTTCTGTTCCGGGAGGGTGTGTTCCAACCACCCACACCTATATCCGTGGTGTCTGCATATGCATCACACACATTTGTGTCACCAGAAGGTTTTGAAGCAGACAATGTCTGGGTGTCCCTGAGCTGCCTGGAGCTCCCGTGCCGTGCTGCTCCGACACGTCGCCCTGCAGGGAGGGCACCACGGGTCACCCCAGCCCGGCAGCCACGGACCCACACCAGGACCCTCTGGGGTCTCACAGGTCCAGCTCCATCCCAACGGGGACACCCCTCTGCAGGGCACCAGGCTGGGAGGTTCTGCAGTGGGTGAAGCTCCCCTGCATCTCCCAGTCCCCCCGAGGGAGCCCCCGCAGAGGGAATGAAATCAACTGCCAGATACTCTGTTTGTCCACTTCGAGGGATTTCCCATCTTTGCTTTGCTGAGGAAAAGGTGATTTACCTAAAAATGAGACACCTGCTGCTATGATGGATTACATGTCAATACTTCTTTAATGCAACTTTACAAGAGACCCATAAATGCCCACAGAGAAACCAGTCACTGACACAAGCTCAACTGGTGGAATTTTCCCAAGGTA